AGTAACGAATAGTAGTAGCAATAGTAGTAGTTGTAGCAGAGTAGCTATAATTTTTATGATGAGTGAGAATATGTGGATTTGACTCCTATCTCTTCTTCCTAACCTATAGGGCACAGGCAAATTACTTCACTTCCATTTCCTCATCTGTGAAATATGTCTACTAATAGCATGTAATTCATAGGATTGCTGTGAAGATTAAGAATACCCATAAATTGTGCCTAGTACTTAGTAATCACTAGATATAGTGTAGTTATCTTTAGCTATTATTACTATTTATTGCTTTTCATGTGCCAGAAATTAGATACAATATTTCATTTACTTCTCATAATAACCTTGTGGAGGAGGTCAGTGTTACTTCCATTTTTAGAGCTGAGAAATTGGGGCTTAGAGAGGTGAACTTGCCTGAGATTGCTGATATGGTGAAGCAGAATTCACATCCAGAATATGCCTAACTGCCAAGTAGTGCTCAAGTACTTTACATAGCCTTTCCCTGGCTTAAATAAACTCTCACCTAGTTTTTCCAGGAAGCCCTGTCCAATAACTAGCTTAGGTTCTTCAGAGTTTCCAGTGGAGATCTTTTGGTGCCATATACCAGTGATTTGTTCCCTTAAAGTTAATTTTAAAAAAGTTTAACCCAAATGCTATCTATTGTGCTTGAACTCTTGTTTCTTCCTTAGAAGAAAGAAACATACCCACCCATATGACAACTTAAATTCAATACATCCAGTATTTTCTTCTGTATTTATTTAGAAGATTCATTGTTCAATGTGGGGAAAGCACAAACTATATATAAAAGTTTGTTTTTCTTGATTACTCTGTAATGTTAAAAATCTCAGCTAAGGGGCTGATATTTTTGCTGCTTATTGAATTCTCTTTTCTGCCCTTGATTTGGGCCCTTGTTTCAACATTATTTTGGGAGAGAAAGGTACAAATTATATATGAAAGCTTTGCTTTTTCTGGACTGCTTTTTTAAGGTTAAATGGCTCAGTTAAGGATATTTTGTTGCCTGTTTGGACCCTTTTTCTGTACTTGATTTTGATCCTTGTTTGATGAGATATTATTTTCCAGGGTCTCCTGACCACCTATTCATGGATTAGTCCCCACTTTGCTGTGGTTTTTTAAAATTCCCTCAGTTTTCACACCACATGAAGGTCATATGAGGTCATGAGAAGGCGGGAAAGGGGCCAATAAATGTGCATCCCAAGGTGTAAACATTTGGGGTCAAAGTTAGTGCACAATTTTTGTGTAGAAATAGTTTTTATATAGTTAAAAAAGCCATACATAATGTTGGGGGAAAAGATGCTGCAACTTCAGATGTTGAGGAATCAAGAGGAAGGAGTTAAGTAAACTAAGGCAAACAGAAGTGGTGGGAGGGTAGCTATTGTGCTTATTCCAAGGGACATCCCAGGGCTTAACAATAATCTTACATGCCCTTCAGGGTGATATTGCAGGGAAAAAATCCTGCTTTTAAAGAGAAGAAATTATTCACTATTTCTTTCATATTATGAAGTGACTCTTGTTAGGCAATGTTTTTAAGCCTAGATCAGGGGATTAGGCTTGTTTTCCCCCTCTCAAAAGAAGGCCGTAGGAGGAATATATCCTTACAATTTAAGTTTCTGTGACAGTTGGGTGAATTCATAAAAACAGACAACTTTGTGAACAGGGAAAAATATCTTAAAGGAAAAAAAAATTCGGCGTGTAGCAAGTCTGAAACAAAGCTGATTATCCACCCAGTGGCCAGATACGTTTTTTTCCTGATGGATTTCCTTGTGTTTATTCCGCTAGCATTTATTCATTCCTGAGTTTTGGGGTGGCCCTTCTGTGAAGAGTTTCCTCATCCCAGCTGTCATGATGTTTAATCTAGAGTTGCCAACTTCGGATCTGGCGGTTCCAGGACACAGGGTGAGGAAAGCAAAGCTTTCCAGTATTTGTGAATCCTATCCCCCACCCGTGTTGAAATTAGTGCTTAAATCTCTGGTCAGTCCTGAGTTGTTTTCAACCCCAGCTTCATCTGATCTTTCCCAGAATAGCAGAACTATTACTAATGATAAAGATCCATGAACATATCCAGAGTTCAAATTACTTATGCATCATACAAACTCCAATTAATTTCTCTTTTCCTTTCCTATTCCTCCCTTCCCTTCCATTCAAGTAAATTATGATTTTTTTGGTGTGAAATATTTACTTGTTTTTTTTTCAAGGTAAAACTTAGATTATAGTTATTAAACTAAGTAGGGTGCTTTTTAAAATGTTCTCCCCTTAGGAAAAATAGGGTAATCTTTTAACAGGCAAATCATCTGGTTTGATCCTCATGTTAGTTCATGAGATGGCTTGACACTTTTTATATAAGGGAAGTCATGGCTTTTCATTTTAGAAATACACAAAGGTGGTTACTCTTGGCTCCCTCCTGCCCTGGGCCTGATTGTTTCATGTTAAAGAGGAATGGTCCTGACTGGTCCTATGTTTTATGCCTCACCGGCTGCCAGACAAGACAGAAAAGGAAGTAGGCATAAGTAGAATTAGTACTTGAAGGCAGGGCACAAATTTAGAAGAAACAGTTCCCTTATCCAAATATAAATTTTACTATCTTATTACAGGTTGCTTTCCTCTGGGCCATTCAACAATACTATTATACTATGAATGAATCTTTCTTTGGCAATGGAATGTATTTAGGAGATCTAATGGTGAAGTAGCAAAATGCTCTTTGGCCCCCTGCTCTCCTAGCTATTTTGTACAATGTAGCCAGTCCCACGGGGCTTTGTTTAAGTACTGTACCCTCAGAACCCCCACAGATTTGCTTTTAGGCAACACCAATGCTTTGAATCTTTTCTTCAACCTTATTATCTATGATTAGGATGGATGTGCACTGACCTAAAATAGTTTAGTGTCACCTTTCCTTATATATATATCTGTTCCCAGCAACATATAGTGGTTAACTTTCTGGACAACAATTAGCATAAATATAATATTTCATTATTTAATAACAGAAATATTTTAGAAAATTCCTTATCCCCAAAGAAACTCTTTTAATATGACAAATTAGTGGACATTAGCATATTATGGATCAACATCCTTAAATCAGAAAAATTATTTGGCATTTGTTTTTTTGGGATTGGCTAATTTCATTTAGCATTATATTCTCCAGCATCATCCATTTACCTGTAAATGCCATGATTTTATTTTCTTTTATTGCTGAATAATATTCCATTGTATATATATACCACATTTTCTTTATCCATTCATCTACTGAAGGGCATCTAGGTTGGTTTCCAGTTTAACTGTTGTGAATTGCGCTGCTATAAGCATTGATGTGGCTGTCTCTCTATAGTATGCTGTTTGTAAGTCCTTTGGGTATAGATGGAGGAGTGGGATAGCTGGGTCAAATGATGGTTATGTTCCCAGTTTTCCAAGGATTCTCCAAACTGCTTTCCAAATTGGCCGAACCAATTTGTAGTCCCACCAGCAGTGTATGAGTGTACCTTTTTCTCTACATCCTTGCCAACACATATTGTTGTTTGTATTCTTAATAGCTGCCATTCTGACTGGAGTGAGATGAAATCTTAGAGCTTAGTTTTGATTTGCATTTCTCTAATTGCTAGAGATGTTGAACAGTTTTTCATATATTTGTTGATTGATTGTGTATACTCTTCTGAGAAATGTCTGTTCAGTTCCTTGGCTGATCTATTGATTTATTTTTTTTTTGGTGTTAAGATTTTTGAGTTATTTATGAAGAGATTAGTGCTCTATCTGACATGTATGTGGTAATAATTTGTTCCCAATTAGTAGGTTCTCTATTCATCTCACTGATTGTTTCTTTTGCTGAGAAGAAGCTTTTTAGTTTGAATCCATCCCACTTATTGAATCTTGATATTAATTCTGGTGCTATAGGAGTCTTATTGAGGAAGTTGGGGCCTAATCTCACATAATGGAGATTTGGGCCTACCTTTTCTTCTAATAGAGGCAACTAGGGTGCAAAATTTAAGAAAACACTCATTTTAAAAGTTTGAAATTGAAATTGAAAATGTTTACAATAGCATAAAAAATCCTAAAATCCTTAGTGATGAAGCTAATAAAGTGAGCTTAAGATCTTTATGCTGAAATCATCAAAAATTGCTAAGAGAAATTAACGACAATTTAAGTTCATGAGCAGATATACTCTTTATTAATTAAAAGACCTAAATTCTCTTAAATTGATCTAAAGATTGCATTCAAACTACATTAATTTCTCAAGTGCACTTTTTTATGATAGAAATTCATAAATTTATTTTGGAAAGTAAAAAAACTAGAAGAAGCAAAATAATTTTAAAATAAAACAATAAAGATGACTCATACTATTTGATTTCAGTAGTCATTCTAAAGCTGCAATAATTAAGACAGAATACAACATAAACTGATTGCATTTATGAAAATCTGGAAAGAGAAAAACTTAGGAGAACAGAATCAGATTTTAGTTTAGGCAAGAGCTAGTTTTGAGGGAAAGAGAATATTTGCAAAATGGAACTAGGGAACATTTTTGGATGTTGATGATATTCTGTATTTTGATTGGCATCTAGGTTATACAGTTTGTATATTTGGCCAATTTCGTAAACTATATTCTTTAAAAGAGTATATATTGTGTACATTGGGCATTAGTAAATCTGACTTCTTAAAAAATGTGTCAGTGGAGGAATGTGGATTTCATTAAACCTGGAATTGACTGATTATAAAATAAAAAAGAAAATAAAAATCCAGATTCCTGTGTTATTTTTGCTATATTATTCTAAGTCTGTTTTATGCTTGGCAACATATTCTCTTGCTCATATTTCACCTCATCTTCATTATTTATGTCTTTGTTTTGGAAGAAAAAAAATCTTTCCTTCTAAATATAAAGTAAAAAAGTTGAAGTTCTGATAAAGTTTTATTTTGTTTTAAAGAATGAGAGTAGGAATCTTCATTTGATACAATGGAAAATCTATAAGATCTGAGTCACATTTATATTATTTTATTTGCTTATTCTTCAAATATCAAGTATGGTGAAATCCTTCATCAATAGCAGTTTGCCTTTTTAAATGTTGATCCTTTGGGTCTGAGTGAAGCTAAAAAAAAATAGTGGAAACTTTTTTATGAAGCTTATGTGGAGTTTATTTGAATATTTGACTTATAAACTAGGGATTACTTCTTCAAATTCTTATGTTTAAAAAAATATATTTTGTCTATCATATACCAGTTTTGTAAAAATGAATTTCTAAGAACTGAAGAAAATCATTTTAAAATATTCAAATGTATTTCTTAAATTGTATACTCATATAAAGCTTCATTATTTTATTTAGTATTAAGGAGCTATATTGATCAAAATATTAAAGCTATTTTCGGTTTGTTTATTCATTTTCAGTTGTCAAAATAAGTGTAATTGGAAACAGCTGCCTTCAAATTATTTTTGACAACAATTTACTTTCAAATCTAAAATGAATAACTTTATGAAAATGGAACTTGTCTAATTATTATTTTTACTAGCGTATATATTCAGATTTCTGCTCTGCAAATTAGGAGATAACTGAAACCAGAAACTGATTATTTAAAAACTAGTACTATAGCTTTACAAAAAGACATTTGCCATGGCTTCCTCAGTTTTATAAATTGGTTAGCTTCTCATTGGGCAATTTTATACATTTTAACAGATTTCACTCTTCTTTGGTATGATTAAAATGTGGTAGAAGACAAATGAAGTGTTTTTCTGCCCTTTTAATCTTGTCTTCAAGCTACGTTTAAGCTTCTTTTCATTTTCAAAGCAGCTTAATAATGTGATTTGTTGTTATCAAGAGATTTAAAATTTTCCCATACTTTATAAATTTTGTGACCAAATAAGTACATTTATTTTCATAGTTCTAGGATTAACTTACTGCACACTAAATGAGCTCTTGGTCAAATTTAGAAATTATAAAACTATTGTAAATAGTTTTTAAAATACCCGCTCAGTATAAAATTCTTTACTACAAATTTTTATTCTAAATTTATCCCTTTATCCCTTCTAATTTGTTTTAGAATTTTAAAAAGAAATACTGCATGCATTTCTTTTTCTTCCTTTAGCAGAATCTGGCCAAGACCAGAGGAAAGATAAGCAAAGGTCCTTAACATACATTTGAAAGAATGGAAGTACTTATTTCACTGCTCATGCTAGGATTTCATTCCTCTGCATGCAATTACATAACTCATCAAGAATTGGGCTCCAGAGAACTTTGATTTTCCATGGCAATATGGTATGGCATTAAGTACACTGGACTGTGGGTTGATGGCCCTATATTTCCCACATTGCTTTTCTTTAAGTCAGCTTCTCTGCTCTCATTCCCACCCCTCCCACCCCTCATGCATATACTGAGAAGGATGAATTGGATGACTTTCCTGTTTTTGCTTTCTTTTATATTTTAGAATCTTTGCAACACAATCCACAACTGACCCACTCTCATGTACCCTACTCTGTCCTCAAGCACTTTGCTTTTCCCTCAAGGTCCACCCTTGAACACAACCATACTCACTGACTACAGATGACAGAGAGCGACATGAATAGTGCATCACAAACCATAGTCAAAACAAAACAGAACAAAACAAAATGCAAGAACACTGTCTACTATGAGCCCTGAAATGATGAACCTTTTTTTGAGAGTTTTCTGGAAAGTTCCTGTTGGAAGCTATTTTACCCCTACTTCTACCATCTATAGATAGATGGCGATGCTTGCCCATATGCCAACCATGTGAGAAAATAGTTGCTTTTACCCAGAAGGAATAGATTTACTATTACCTTGTTGACCTTGCATCTTTTCCTACAAATATCTGCTCTATTCTTTATTTGGGGAGTTAATCCTTTTAATGACTATATTCCATCATGAGGCATTAGAAGTGAAAATACTTTTATTATTGCTTTTGTTTCTGAGTTTTCCTTTCATGCTGCACACTTAATGTCCAAAGTTTTGCTTCTTCTGCTTCTGAAAAAGATGTGTTCTTCCTCCTTTCAAAGACTACTTCCTGCACTTGTATCTTCCAACTTCTGGAAGATTGTTCATTTTTTTTTTCTGACCAAATACTTGTTGCTTTAATTTTTTTTTTCATTGTAGTTTTCCTATCTGTCTAAAATCCTCATTGCCTTTCTTTTGTTTTTATTATCCTTCAGTTCACCTTTTTTTATTACCGAAAATCTTATAAGAACCATGTTTGAGTCCTTTGCTTTAATCTAGAGGCATTCAGAAATTCCACAACCAGTTGTAGTCTGACTTCTGCCTGAACAATCTAAGGAAAGCACTCTCGTAAAGTTGACTAAAAAGTGTTGAGTTATTGAACAAAGTAACTTTCTTTCAGGTCGTCTTACCTGCTGTTGGCCAAATTCTGAAACTTTTCTCTTTTGACTTCTTTACATTATATTTTCCTGGTTTTACCACCTCCCTGTTATATCCATTTCTATCTCATCTTTATTCTTCTTTAACTTTAGTTGTTCCTCAAGGATCTGATCTTGCCATCTTTTTTTCCCTCCTTTTTCCTAATTTTTGTCAAATTTCAGGCTTATCTATTGAGATTCACTCTTTGCTGTATGTGGCTGGTCCCCAAATCTGTATTTATAGTTCAGTCTTCTTTACTAAATGAATCTCTCCCTTTCTCCCTTCAAATTTATTACCTAACAGGTCCACAACTACATCACCAGGAAATTTTAGCATTTTCCTGGTACCTTAACATCATTATGTGAAAAATGGAATTTGTCACCTAAATGATTAGATCTGCCTACCTCATGTGGCCCGTTTTTGAATTAATGATAGGAACTGCCATAGGAGTCACCCAGGATTGAGTTGATTTTTCTCTCAGCCTGTTCTTGGCTCTGCTGACCAGCTGAAGTTTACCTCCCTATGAGCTCTCATACTTATCCAGTTCTAAAGACGTAATTCAGTTTTGAGTCTTCTGTCTTACATTTCTCTTGCCTTCAGACTGTTCCATGATGCTGCCAGATTAACTTTCCTGAAGCTCAGGTCTGATACTGGTCAAAATTCTCTGCTCATATTTCCCTGGTCAAAAAACTCTTCAGTGATATGTCCACTTATGGCTCTTAGAGGAGTCTTCTTTCAGAATCACAAGTCTCTTTCTTAAGTAATTGATGTATTCATTTTCCTCCAAACCATGTGGACTTTGAATATTTTTATTTTGTGAAATATAGCACACCAAAAACTGAATAAAAGTCATATATATATTTTAACAAATATTTGTAAAGTGAACACCCTTGTAAACTTACCCCCAGGTCAACATATGGACATTACTGACATATAGGGAGTACCCTTTGTCTGTCTTCCCATTTGTCTTGCTTTCAACCCCAAATGCCTTTTCTTCCTTCAGAGAAAATCACTATCCTGACATGTATAGAAGTAGTTTCCTTGTTTTTCTTTATAATCTTACCACTTAAGTATACATCCATAAACAATATGGTTTGCATTTCCCTGGTCTTGGCCTTTATGTAGATGGAATCATTACTGCATGTGTTATTTTTTTTCTACTGGACTTATTAAAAAAATTAGTCATGCTATTATTTGTAGTTCATTCTCATTCTTTTTTTTTTTTTTTTAAATTTTTTTTTTATTGGTTGTTCAAAACATTACACAGCTCATGACATATCATCTTCCATACATTTGATTCAAGTGGGTTATGAACTCCCATTTTTTACCCCAAATACAAGTTGCAGAATCACATCGGTTACACATCCACATTTTTACATAATACCATATTAGTGACTGTTGTATTCTGCTACCTTTCCTATTCCCTACTATCCCCCCTCCCCTTCCCTCTCATCTTCCCTCTCTACCCCATCTGCTGTTGTTTAATTCTCTCCCTTGTTTTTTTTTTTCCCCTTTCCCCTCACAAACTCTTATATGTAATTTTGTGTAACAATGAGGGTCTCCTTCCATTTCCATAGTTTCCCTTCTCTCTCCCTTTCTCTCCCCCCACTTTATTAAGACCACAGCCAATCCATTCTAATGCAGATAGATTATTGAATTGTTTTCAGTTTTTAGTACTGATTAATACTGCTTCTTTGAATTTTTTTTGTATGTGTATTATGCCACGTGAATCTCAAAGTTAAAGATTTGAGAGTAGAATTTCAGAGTCATAAGGTAAACATATCTTTGGCTTGATTAGATAATACAACACATTTTTAAATAATCTGCACGAATTTTCACCATTCACATCAGTTTCTAATGCTCCAGATTTTCATAGTTTCATAATATTATGAAACATTTACAGTTTTGCTCCTTTGATGGATGAGTAGTGAGTGGTATTTCATCATGGTTTTAAGATGTATTTTCCTGTCATATAATGAACATTTTAAAATACAGCACTGGTCATTAGTGAAGTGTTTGAGTCTTTTCACTAATTTTACCCCTGGGATATTTACATTTTCCTTGTGTTTTGTAGGATTTTAAAAAATCTGGATATTAGTTTATGTCAGCTATATTTGTTGCAAATATCTCTTCCCACTGAGGGTTGACTTTTTGCTCTATGTTGTCTTTACTAAATAAAAGTTCTTAATTTTTAATTTAATTTATTACTTGCTTTCATCATGTGTGCTTTTTGTGTTTGTTTAGGAAATCCTCCCTTAGTTCAATATCAAAAAGAAGCTGTCTTGTTTGTATTTTATCCTAAAATATATTGGGTTTTACTTTCGTAAATGTTATGAAAGAAGCATCTAATTTCATTTTTTAAAATTGTCCCAGTACTACTTATGGGAAGGTCCTTTTCATCCCCACTGCTCTGCAGTGCCATCTCTGTCATAAATCCAGTGTCACACAAGTTAGGTTTTGAGAGTGGGAATTGTCTTTTCTGTTCTAGTCATCTGTTTCTTTGTCCCTGTGCCACTTTCTTGATTATTGCAGCTTTACAATACTATATGTCTTGATGTCTAATAGAATAAGCTTTCCTCTTCATTTCTTCTCATCAAGAGTGCTATTATGGGCTGAGTTATGTCCCCTCCAAAAAGATGTTGAAGTTCTCAGTACCTCACAGTGTGACTTGGAATTAAGGCCTTTGCTGCTGTAATTAGTTAAGATGAAGGCATACTGGTGTAGGGT